TTCAAGAACATAGAATTCCTATGTTTTTTTCTTTACTCTTTAGAGTTTGTTCAATAGATTGAGGACGTTACATCCTCGACATCTAGGGTCATAAGAACACTCATATTTAGGGTTTGACATAAATGATTTTAATATTAACACTTTCCATCAAGCTAAAGATGTGTACATGTGTGGGATATCTTTCTCTAAATAATGGAATCACTAGGAAGGAACTTGGGTGAGAATATCTGGATTATGCAGCTCAAAAGGAATATGTTGAGTTAGACATTCTTGTGGCTGCACCAATTGAAAAAGAAAGTCTTCAGCCACTACAAATGCATTTCATTTTCGTATTTTAAAACAGGAGGATTACAAGCAATATTTTAGCGTACTTCAACTATCTAGCTGGGTGTTTGATATTTACACAATTGTCACGACGAAAGAAATTTAAACTACATAATATCAACAGCCGTACTGTCTATAATTTGTAGTACTTCATCAGGTACTATTCATGTATCTGTTGGTTCAGCAAGAAATCAACTGGTTCTCGAGAAAATATAGTATCCTGATGTCAGTCACAGATTGTCTTGGCATCCTACTCAATCAACATCTCAATATGCAAATACGGAAAAATCTCCACACAAATTGAAAACACCACGATTAACAGCTCCTTCCAAGTATCCAGAATTCTCTGTGTTGCTTCTTGATGGAGTCTTCTTTGAGACTGCATTTACTGACATACTTTATTCAAAGAATTTGCAAAATCAATATGAGCAAATCATAGGGGAACCGACAAGACTTCTTAAACAAAAGAAACAGGACCCCTATACTGAGTGATATCTTTATCCAAATCATACATCCTTTGAGCTTCAAGATATTTCCGCGAGAGTCCACACACTTGGAATATATCATCCTGTGTTCTCATTAAAACCATTATGAGTAGAGATCATATTGATCTGTGCCACATTAAGTGGGTTGCTTCAACTTGCACAGAATCTAAGTAAAGGCCCTTTGAGTTATAGTGACTCATTTTATTGAAAGCCTGCCTCATAGGTCTTTTACTACTTTAAAAACAGTACCCACTTTTAATATGGTAAAGGAGAAACTTATCAGCTGTGATCATAGGGATACTGACAAACATTATGCCTTCTCCTCAGAAAGATCTGATTAAAAAACACTGTTCATATTGTGGGACTCAAGGGCAGTTTGGAACTTTCTTATCATAAAATAAAATTTATGACTAAAATAAAATAAAAAGAAATTATCAGAAAATAAAATAAAACTTTACAAAGAAACTGAAAAATAAAAACTTGTGCCAATATAGAGTGATTTTTGAAGAACCCCTTGATTAGCAAGGGTTCACCCTAGGTACCTCATTTAAGAATTTGAACGAAGGTCACCTTCTTCCTGTTAGAAATGTCTGAAGACCCAACGAAATACCATAGTCACCCTACATAAATAGGGTAGTCATTTAAGGCCCAATCTTATGACACTGACACAATCCCCTTCTACTACAAATCGATCCCTCAGACAGAAGGGCAGATCCATAGACTTCTAAGCAATTCAGAAGCCTTCACTGATGAATCGCATATAATTAGCGCTCCCGAATAGCTTTTAAGATTCCTACTTTCTTAATCTCCAAATAAGTCATGCATAATTGCTATGCTGGTTCTGTATTACCCCATGAACTTCCATCAAAATTTAGCTCAACAGAATACTCCATCTGAGCAACCCAAACTATAAGGGGTGAAGCAAGGGAGGAATTTAAAAGGCCAAAATCTTTCAACTCTTGAATAAGTCAATGGCCTTAAATCCTTGAAATTCTCATCAAAGCAGAGTTGCGCGAAATAACCATATTCCTACTCTTCTCCCTACGAACCAAATTTTGCACCCTTTGATCCCTAAAAATACGACTAGTCAGCTCTTTCCAAATACAGCAAATTATGGCCATAATGCTCAATTCTACAGTATTCAATCCAGGTGGGATTGCCATAGAGCAACAAATCACCAGAAGGTCCTCCACAGAAGCCGGGATCGATCATTAAATGCCAACTATGCTATGAACATAGGCATACCTACAATGAATATGCGACTTGTCGTTTCACTCGACTGAGCATAAAATATACACACTGGGAATCTGCATACCTTGTGCCTTTGAAGGCAGTCAATTGTTAATATACTCCCACAGCATGCCGACCATCCAAAAGCTAAACCCGGATGGAGCCATGACCCTAAGACAAGATAATTGGTCATCATCACTTGAGAGGCTATAAAAGGATCTAGCAGTAAAGCATCCTCGACTATCCCAACTCCAAAACAGCCTATCCACCCCTTGAATCGGGACATAAACATCCTCACAACTTAGACAAGAATCTTACTAACTCTCCCATTACATCATCTGAAAGACCCTTCATAAAAAGTCAGGCACCAGTCACCCTGCCCCCCTAACCTCTGTAAACAATCAATGACTTAGTCATCAAAGTCCACACAAATCCCCAATAATGCTGGATATATAGTCCCCAGTGCACTGTCCCCACAATAAATGTCTAGCCTAAATCATATGTTGTGCTCCATCCACAAAACACAAATATAATTGTCTAGAAAAATCATCATACAATCCAGATGGCAACCCAAACCACAGAAACTCTAGTGTGTCTACTCGTAAACCTCGTATTCGAACAGAACTTAGATAAATCATACTTGCAGAGAATAACCTCCCTCTACAACTCTTCACTCTTCTCTCCTACTCACCAATGCCACTTGGCCAAAATGGCTAAATCTTCAGAATGCCCAATCCCCCATATCGCATTAGATGACACACCTCTTCCCAACAAACGAGTGAAATTTACGCACCTCAGTAATCCCACTCGAAAGGATATTTTATTGCAATCTCTCCAGTCTATCAACCACACCAGCTGGTGTTCAGAAAAGAGACATATAGTATACAGGCAGATTATCCAAAGTAACTTTATTAAGTGGAAATGTCCCCAAAAAGAACAACATCCAACCTTTCCCAACATACTCCCCACCACAAGATCCACAAACTCTTATGTGGTTCTCCAATACAAAGTGGAAGCCCAAATATTTGTCAAGAAGAGACCAAATTTAACATCCAAACATTTATGCCATGAATAACATTTCTTCCCCCTTATGTCAACCACCATCGTCCAAATTAATCTTAAGACCAGTCACCACTTCATACCATTATGACGCAAACCACAATATATCTACTTGATCCACATATGCATCTCAAAATATACCTAAATCTTCAGAATGCCCAATCCCCCATATCGCATTAGATGACACACCTCTTCCCAACAAACGAGTGAAATTTATGCCCCTCAGTAATCCCACTTGAAAGGAAATTTTATTGCAATCTCTCCAGTCTATCAACCACACCAGCTGGTGTACAGAAAAGAGACATATAGTATACAGGCAGATTATCCAAAGTAGCTTTATTAAGTGGAAGTGTCCCCAAAAAGAACAACATCCAACATTTCCCAACATACTCCCCACCACAAGATCCACAAACTCTTCTGTGGTTGTCCAATACAAAGTGAAAGCCCAAATATTTGTCAGGAAGAGACCAAATTTAATTTATGCCATGAACAACATTTCTTCCCCCTTATGTCAACCACCATCGTCCAAATTAATCTTAAGACCAGTCACCACTTCATACCATTATAATGCAAACCACAATATATCTACTTGATCCACATATGCATCTCAAAATATACGTGTACCATCCGCAAATTCGGAGTGTGATAAACTAGGCCCACCATGTCCAGTATGAAAACCTGAAACCACTCGAAAATTTGAAGCTCTGCAGAGTAACTTGCTCAAAATCTTTGTAACCATCGACAAGAGCAGTTTAGGTGTAGCATGACAATCACTTCGCAGAGCTATCCTCTCAATCTCGTATGCATGTGTGTGTGTATAAGTTACATGTTTCCCACTTTCTTATAGCTAGTTTTGAAACTATGAATTTCAACCACTACCACCTACACTGAAAGGAAAATGATAGAAAACAATGTTGGGCTAGACATGAAAGTGAAAATCAAACGTGGACAATAAGCCTTTTTATGGCATCCTTGAGCAGAGTTACTCATAAACTGCAAGAAGTGATGGCCATCATATACATGCAAGCTCTATCCACTATAGGATCATTGTACTGATTCATGGGAAACCTTGATTAAAAGCCATATTTCAATAAGCTGAAAATCATGAACTGAAAAACCTACATTACATGCATGAAGAAGGTAGTGAATTGAGCAGCAACTATAAAAGTCTCTGAAATGGATCATCTTTTTTCGCTCAATTACAAAAAAGGGCACATTTCTTACATCATGCATGTCATCCTTGAATAGGGGCCATGCTAATCTTCTCGGTACTGTTCCAATTTTATTGGATGTCTCGAGAGATAAAAATCATCAACTGAAATGAAATGCCAATAAGCTGAAAATCTTAAACTGAAAAATTTATGTGAGGAATGCAGTAAATTGTGCAGCAACTATATAATTATCCAAAACAACTATCAAATTTTTATATTAAAATCCTTGAATATGAAATTTGTCTTTGCATTTGTGTAGGATATGGAAAACCTAAGCTTAAACTTAATATACCAAAACTACAAAACACAGAGGTCCCACTAATGCATGGACACTTACAGTTAATGAAGAGGCCAGGTTGCACCCACCATGTGTATTAGAAAATTATAAGCATCCCCTTCAGTTTTTAACTTTTTTCTATTAAAATACTTTTGCAAATTCTGGAAATGCCAGGGATCACTATAATGATAAATGAACCAAATATTTTCATTCAAAACAACATTTCTTTGATTCAAAGCATATCTATCAAGATCAGCACTAACCATGAACGTTATCCAATAAAGTAATTAAGAGGAGAACATAATACAGAAGGAGGGAAAAATCTCAAGCCACTAAGAGTTTGTTCTTGTGAAAATGACAAGTAAGAATAAACCATTGATATAAGTAAACAATTGAACAAAATCAGTCACTTACATATGACCCATACTGAAGCCTCGTTTTAACCCCATTCACAAGCACCTCTCCATACATTTTGGCTGAATCAGGCAATCTTCCTAAATGAAAAAGGAAAAAGGACCATCACTCTTTTAACACTGAACAATCTCGAAAACAGATACCCAGATAGCAAAAAAATTTGTTTTCATACGCCAGATTGCAAACAATCTCTAAAATGCATTACTAGATTACCATGGAAATAGCAAATAATCACGTATCCATCTCTCTCTCTCTCTCTCTCTCT